CGTTGATCAACTGGAGTTATGGGGCAGAAGTGAAAACAACCAGATTATTGACTAGAAAAGCAGGAGTTTTCAGAGACATATAGATGTAACTCTAAGCTGTGCCACTTAAGTCTGTGTTTGTCAAATAAGGAGCACAATGCCCAACAGTCAGGGTTATAGAGGGGCAGCTTCAAGATAGAATATTTTAATTCAATACTGTGTTATTCCAGAAAGACTAGAGAAACAAATTCATAAACACACGTGTGTGTGTGTGTAAGAAAGATCTTTATATACAAGAGCAGTTGAATATTGAGAAAACATCCCAGCCCAGTCCAGATCAAGTTCATAAGTCCTATATTTGCCCATATGTCCGATACCAATTTATAAAGTCCTCTCCAGACTCACGAAACATGTGCAATGACGTTGAATGCAGGAAGATCACAGGCCAGTGGGTGGGCAGTCTTGTGCATCCAGTGCTGACAGGTCTCCACATGGCTTCTGCGGCTCCATCAGCCTCTCTCCATGTGTCATTTCCACAGGGCTGTCTGGAAGGGAGTGAGCAGAGAAAGAGAGTGTCTCCCGCTTCCAAGGAGGCAAATACCAGAGTTCCCAGAATCCTCAGTAGAAGGCCATGCCCACACAGAGGCCTCATTGGCTATGACCTGATTGACAGGCTACACTCCATTCCTTCACTCAAAATCCTCAAATTGACACCAGATTATGTAACTTCCACAAATATCTAGTACCTGCCTGTCACGTCCAGCCCCTCTTAATGTCAACATGTGTTGCCAGTCCCAGGTGTACCTCATTCAGAAGCAGAGAGCCAGGGGGCAGTACTCTTATGCTGTCCCCTCCTAGTTCCCCTGTTCAATGTCCCTAGACATTCTGTCTCCAGCCCCTGAGCTCCATGAAGAGGATATTCTCACTCTGTTCAGAGAAGAAAAAAAGCTGTCTCATCTCTTTGGAGGAGGGGCTACTGGGAAAGGAAGCTGCCAGGAAGAGTAACACAAGTTGGATAACTTCCTTGCTTGTAATTAGGGTCAAGTAGCGGAGCCTTGGGGAACATGATCCCTAACACCCAGGCAGAAAGGGGTGGTCAGCATGGCTGGTGAGTGTTCTTGAATCTGCTTCTGGTTCAATAAGACCTCCCTCTATGATGGTACATTTTCTTGGGAATCCACCAGGTGCCAAGAAGGATAATTTG